GTACCGTACCGCTTCGTACCACTTCGTACCGAAATGAACCTACCCCCTTCGTACCGAATTCGTTACATCTAGCGAATTTTGTACCCGTACCGCGTACCCGTACCGAGGTGTACCGCGATTTATGTGACTATGGGCTAGTCTAGAAGCCCTGAACACATATTTGGATTTCGGGATTCTGACCTCCGACCTCAAATCCTCTCTCAAACCAGCAATAAAGACACCCAAGAGACAATGGTCAGGCCAACTTCGGACTCGAGCAACCCTTCTCGCCCACTCTTGAGGATAGTCCTGTACGAAGCCTGTTTGTTTGATTAAGACAAGGTGTTCGTCTGGGTTCGAGTATTCTGGCGGTCCATAATGCTCCTCAATGGTTTTCATGCACTCTTCCCAGTACATGAGTGTTCTCAATGGTTTTGATGCACACCTCCCAATACATGAGTGTCCTTTCAGCATTGATCCAGGAGAACAAGTCGAGAGCGTCACCCTCCAGGTGCATGGCCGCTATCTCAACCTCATCTTCTTGTGATGTTCCATAGTAACGGAAGTACTTTTCAGCCTTCAACACCCAGCCCCGTGGATCTCTGCCGCTGAGTTTAGGGAACTCAACTTTGTATCTGGGAATCCGGCGGTGGCTGTGATCATTTTCTTCATCAGAATCGTCAATATTCTACTTCATCTTCGTCTTCCCAGAGTTATTTCTGGCCTGTTCTTTCAAGGTAGTCACTTCTTCCTTGAGGTCATCTAACACTGAAAGCTTGGCAGCGATTTGTGCTAGAGTGTTGTTCTGCGGACTAACTTCATTTGCTGGTTGCTCGTTGGTCCACCATCCTCACTGTGGGCAGCGTTTGCACGAGTAATTGCCATAAGGATCGAGTAACGAGTGCTATGATACCAAATGATATAAACCTACTAGAATTAATTCGGGATCTAAATTAAGACTAAATAGAACTCTCCCTTCCTTCTCTTAATAAGTATCTCATTGATGAAAAAGGAATAGAAGCCGAGAGAATCTCAATGTGATTAATGGTTTATTTTCTTGGTATCTCAGCAATAGAGAAGCTGGGATATTTATAACTCTAACAAACTGATAAGATGAAAATTAACAAACTGATCTGATAAGATCAAACAACAAAGTAATAAGTTCTAACTAACTAAGCTATCCTACAACTAACCAAGCTAACGTGAGAGTCCTTTTATTTAATAAATTTAAAACAGTAACAAACCCAATTAACCCACACATAATCATATAATTAAGGTGGCCTTCTGCTATCAGTGATCCAAGTCTTATCACGGGTGGTGATTCGCGGTGGCCCTTGTGTGTTGAGGATGACGGTGCTTGTGCATTGAGGATGACAAACATTGTGTGATGTGCGATGATGGGGATGGAAAGGGGTAGAAGATAAATTCAAGGAAGAGAGATAGAAATTGTAAGGAAGAGAGAAAGAAATTGTCCTCTAAAAATAAAGGTGAAGATAAATTCAATATTTTGGCTTTATTTTCCATTTGATCTCCTTCTATTTTCCATTGACTTTGTTCCCATACACCGAAAAATGGGGAAAATGACTTTTGAGAAATGGACCCTAATAGAGATAACAATTGAGAAAGAAATTGTTACGCTAGGAGTTACGAGATTTACACCAAGTATCCTCACTTTGCAAAGCATGTAAAAGCACAATAATGTGTTGCAAAACTTGTCCCTCAGCAAGGATTGAAGTAGTTCTAAGTTGGCCAATGCAGTGGCTGAGAAAAGGTACAGTGTATGTGACATTGTACTTTCTTCTCGATTCTTGGAGGTTGTGGAAAATTTTATGAGGGCATCACAACCTCTTCCAATTGTGTTGAGGATTGTTGATGGGGACGAATAGTCGAGAGGTTATGGCCACTATGGATGTTGTTAAGGGTAAACTTAATTACTCATTTTCCAACAAACAAGCATTGCAAAAAACGTGATGGATATTATTGAGACATGATGAGTTAAATAAATAGAGCAAAAAATTTATGCGGCCGCATGTATTCTAAACTTTGCAAATGTCTTTTGCTCAAAAAGAATGATCTGGTCTATGCATATAAGCACTTCCGGTGTTATTTAGTGAGATTGTGGAAAAAATGACATTGGGTGATGATAGTTTACACATGAAGATTAGTTAGCAAGCCAGTGATTATGATGAAAAAGAAGAGTTTTTGGAAAATATACCGATTAAACAACAATCAATAAGATGCCTAGTAAGTATTTTCAAATTCATTAATATTTATGGAAGTGTAAAATACTTCAATGATAAATTTAGGTTTTAATATACTCCGAAGTTGTAGGCATTTGCAAGGAGAATTATTGATCTTTGTTGTTCGTCATCCGCATGTGAACATAATTGGAGTTTCTTTGAATTAATAAGTAATTAACATTTAAATAGTACAGAGTATTTGATATGGGGTATAATGGTAGTACGTACAATATTTTACTTGCAACAACAACCCACTTCAATCCCTTGAATATTAACTATATTTTTTTTAATTAGATACACTCAAAAAAACGGAACCGACTAGAATATCAAAGATTGAATGATTTGGTTCACATTAAATATAATCGTAAGATAGCTGTTCAGTTTAAAGGGCGTAGTGAACAAGGTAATAGTTTTGATGCTTTGACTTTAATAAAGTTCCAATGAAATAATGTATGGTTTGATGCTAGTGATGAAGTTGTTCACATGGGAGATTATCCTTTGTGGAGTACGTCTAACAGTCCTGAGCGTAGTAAGGGGTCGCCTTGGCGTCGTGGCGGTATAGAGCTCACGCCATGGAACCTTGCCTCTCCATATTTCGCCTAGTTAAGTTTGGTGTCACCTAACCAGCCGGCCGCCAAAAGACACCTAGCGGCTAAGAAAGGAGGCCGGCCCGAGATTCAAACACCCTAATCTATAGCCTTCGGATTTCAGATCTGAAAATCCCAGCGCATTGCCACCAACTGGGCATAGATCTGTCACCACTGCTTTGGCCCGTTGGAAGTAGACCTTTCACCGTTGCTGTCGTCGTCACATGCGTTTGTGGCTGCCACTCGAACAATGCCTGCCTGTTTCATCGTGTTGATCCTTCGACTTCTTTCCATTCTTTGTTTTCTTTAATTATCTGATTTATCTATCTTTTTGGGCTGGGATGGGCCAAGGGATCAGTGATGGATCTGGATTGGATGCCAATTTTTCTCCTATACACACACACACACAGAGTATATTAAAGAATTAAAAATACTTGGTACAGTGCTTGAGTTCTGGTTTATTTTATAATATTAAGCCATCATTTTGGAGCACCACTCTTTTTTTTTGAAAATTACCTTTCTAAATTTCTGTTTTTTAACTTATGTTTCAAAGTTGTTTTTAATTTATTTTAAACTTTGTTGAGTATGCATTTTGTTGCTTATGGACGACTTAACTTTAAATTTTATAAATCACAGAGTACAAAAAATTAATATGTACTCCGTGATAAAGTTATACTCATATCAATGTTAGTAATGTACAACAATCTCATTTATTACGACGTTGCCTAATTGTTGCCTAGGCGGTTGTGTAGGCGTCCAGGTGGTATACTGGTGTCGCACATTGCCTTGGCTCCGTGATAATTGTGATCCTGAGGGGCACTATTGAATGTGTGAATATATCAAATGGCAAATGTTTAGATTGTTTAACATCATCGTGGTGCGTCGACATCTTCTACGATGTGCGTGGGTGCTGCAGTAGAAAATTAAATTGAACCTTTTCTGAATGATGATGAAAACATTGATGATGATTATGGACAGACGACTCCCACTACCAATGAGACGACAAAGGAAAAAAGTCGTCATGATGGCATAATGTTGGATTATGATATTTGATACCTCAAAATATGCACTTGAATTTTTTTGATAAGTTGTTTGTGTGCTTGTGCTCTTTGTTAGTTTCTTGCTCTGGAAGTTGAAGGATATTGTTTTCTTATATACTCTTCNCGTGGGTGCTGCAGTAGAAAATTAAATTGAACCTTTTCTGAATGATGATGAAAACATTGATGATGATTATGGACAGACGACTCCCACTACCAATGAGACGACAAAGGAAAAAAGTCGTCATGATGGCATAATGTTGGATTATGATATTTGATACCTCAAAATATGCACTTGAATTTTTTTGATAAGTTGTTTGTGTGCTTGTGCTCTTTGTTAGTTTCTTGCTCTGGAAGTTGAAGGATATTGTTTTCTTATATACTCTTCTTTGTAAATATGTATTTACGTGCTACCTTGAAACTTAGTTTTGTTAAGATAAATGATATTTCATCTATTAAAAATGTGGTTATTTTTAGTCAATTAGTGATATATTTACTTTTTTGTTTTTTATAGAATGTATTACTACGCACTTATTATGATTTGTCGACTGATCCTCGACTAGGCTGACCGATTAAACCAACTTGTAATTCCACATTATATGTTGGCCTAGATGCTGCCATTTCAGGATTTTGTAACGTTGTAAGCATCATAGTTTATAAGGCATCGCCTAGGCGATAAGGCGCTATCCCTTGGATGCCTGGTCTGCTTGCCTCGCCCGAAAAACCTCAAGGCGTTCGTCGCTTGGCTAGGCGTCGCCTTGGCGCCTTGGGCCCCTTTAAAATTTTAAAATGTTTAAAAAGATTTGACTTAAACTTGTGACCTACGATACACACACACAAACACACACACACAGAATCTAAGTACTCTGTCAATTCTACGATGAGAATAAGTAGAATCAAAGAATCGGCTTTTCACAATGAAATCCAAATGGCTCCTAATATTGGTGGAGAACATTGATTGTTTTTGGTACCTGCTTCTAATTCAGACTTAATTTACTACATCTATATTTATGCAGGCATATGTTTTATCAAAGTACCCATTGTTTTTTCTTTTCTAATATCGACATTGGGCATCTTACCATATGCTTGACCAAGTGCACATCAATTTACCCTTAACATACAAAAGACTGAATAATAATCTTTTCTTATAATTTTAGAGAAGGGGTAGGGCTGGTCGTGTGCAGCCTGGCGAGTGCTACCACTTATATCCACGATGTGTTTATGAAGCTTTTGCTGAGTATCAATTACCTGAACTTCTAAGAACTCCTCTAAATTCACTTTGCCTGCAAATAAAGAGTTTGCAAGTTGGAATTATTGCTGAATTTCTGTCTGCGGCTCTTCAACCACCAGAGCCATTGGCTGTAAGTAATTACTCGTCTGTATGACTTGTGAAATGTTACATGTGTCCAATGCTATATTGAAAAATTCTCTTATCACACTTTTTTATATGTATTTTGTACTATTATTCTGCATATTCTCTTACCTTATTCTAAAGTTTTGATTGATAGTATTTGATAAGTGATTAAAATTGATCATGATTGAGGGACCTTTGTCACCTCATACAAGACGTTTCCTTTTAATTTTTTTCATTGTTGGGATAAATTTTTAGAAACATACCACTTTATATCGAGGATGTGGTTAGTCTTCATATATATGACGTGTTGTTTATCATTTGTCATGTACAAATGATCCCAAATAACTGTGTTGATTTGTATTAGAGTGCATTAAGCCTAAGCACCACCTTGCGTTTTTCATAAACTGTCATCTTTTAATAGCTTCTCCCAAAAATATCAACCACGAAATTCATTTCTTATAAAGGACAAGAGAAGGTGATTTTTGGGCGGACAACATAGGAATGTAGGAAGTTCTTTGAGGGACGGGGGGAGTATACTACTGTCAGTATAAATGATTTAGGATCAAGAACTGTTGTGGTAATTGTGTGAACTTTCAAAAAAATACAGTACGACTAAATGGGAGTTGGGAGGGTCGGCTGTTTGGATTGTTATGTTGTTTTGGAATACGAGATGTCTAATTACAATTGCTCAAATATACAGGTCTAAACATCTAATACCTTGTTTTCTATGCACTAAAGCATGTTTTAACTTGAGATCTCAAGGAAATAAAAATTCATGTCATTCAGCATCTCAATTTCATTCGCCTATTGAAAGTTCTTAACATGTCACTAAATACATTCATGCTTTATTCTTTTGGTATTTTGGTATATTGCTGACTGCTGTTGTAATTTGTCACAGGTGCAAAATGCTATCGAGTTTTTGAAGATGATTGGTGCATTAGATGAACACGAAAATCTTACGCATCTCGGTATACATGATCAATGAATATAAAAACTCGAAATAATTATCTGTCTTCCGAAACTTCACAATTTTTTCCTACCACAAAGTTTACCCATTTACTTTTAGGCCCCGTTTGGTGAGTTTTGGAGTGATGATATGATAATGGGTTTTGAAGTCCCAAAGAAATGATATCGGTTTTGAAATCTGAAATGAAAGTGTGGAGAAAACAGAAAAGAAATCAATTCATATTAAAATCTTTAGTGAGGAATTGAAATCAAAATTTAAAAATAGTATTTTGTAGTTCGTACATTAACAATTAAATTCTTGAAGGTTTCTTTTTTTCCATCCTATTCCCAAAATTTTGATCCCCTAGAATCAAAAGAAAGAAAGAAAAAGTTGCAGAGAGAGGAATGGGATTGCTTGAATCAGAGAGTGCCCCTCACTGGAAACTTGACGCCTGTGATTTTCTTGCAAACAAATAGGAGCAAGACAAAGAGAATCCTGAATTTGCTGCCGCTAGAGACACATCCGCCATGGCCGCTAGAGGTAGAACCGAGATGCCATTCTCGCTGCTCCAGATTTGAGAAATGGTGGCCTGTGCACATGATAAAGCTTGAGTCAAATTGATTGAATTTAGAATGAAAAAGTGTACATCAAGTCCCAATTCGAGAAGGGAGAGTCTCCAGATTCTCAAAGGAAAATACAATGAAAAATAATAACCCTGAAAATAACATGACTCTAAGTAATAAATCCCACTCCTAGGGGAGTTGGGTAACTGCTACGTAACCCACCCGCTCAGCCACTTAGTGGGTTGTTTGAAATGCTCGTTAACATTTTGAGCTGCTCCACTTCTTCCGGCCTGCCCTTTGCCATCTTCTTTTTCCAAAACGACTTTTCCTCAAGTCGAAAGGAAGGGATCTGAGCTCGCAACAGATCATAACACTCCCAGGTAGCTTCCTCCACTGGACGTTGACACCAAGAGAGGAGTAATTCCAGCACATGTTGACCTGCTACCCATACCCAGTGGTGAGAGAGAACTTCTTTAGGCTGCACGTCAAATTCCCAGTCCTTTGTGATGGGGAGGGGATCAATAGGTGAAGTCGGAACTTGCCCCCTAGCTGGTTTCAGCATTGATACAGGAAACACCGGATGAATGCGAGCATCTTGAGGCAATTCCTACTCATAAGAAACAGGCCCCACCTTGCGTCTAACTTTTTAAGGCCGAAAGAACCGGGGAAAAAGCAGCCAAGCTTTTTTTGCCTATAGGGTTGTATCTTTAGAAACACCACATCCCCTACTTCAAATGAGAGTTCTCTGTGTTTTGTACCAGCTTGAGATTTCATTCGATCTTGAGCTTTTTACAGATTCTGTTTTAAGATTTTCAGCATATCATCCCTGGTTATCAGTTGATCTTCTAACTCAACATTCTTAGTTTCCCCAGTGATGTAAGGATGGAAGGGAGGAGGGTCACGACCATAAACTGCCGAGAAAGGAGTGGCGTTGATGGCAGTGTGAAACCCAGTATTGTAGGAGTACTCGGCCCATGACAGAAGCAAACTCCATTTGTGAGGCTGCTCCTGAGCAAAGCAACGAAGGTAAGCCTCTAAGCATCGATTGAGGACTTCAGTTTGTCCATCCGTTTGGGGTGGTAACTAGTACTCAACTTCAAAGTGGTCTGACTGAGGCGAAAGAGCTCCTTCCAGAAGTTACTCAGAACTATCACATCCCTATTAGAGATAATAGATCGTGGAAAACCATGAAGACGAACAATTTCCTTGCAAAACACAGCAGCAACTCCTTTGGCTGTAAATGGATGAGTGAGAGGCAAAAAGTGAGCGTATTTGCTTAATCGGTCGACCACCACAAAAATGGTATCAAACTTGTAAGATGTGGGTTGCCCTGTAATGAAATCTATAGAGATGTGTTCCCAGATTTGCTGCTGTATAGGAAGTGGTTGAAGTAATCCTGCTGGTGATAAAGTGTCATACTTCTGCTGTTGGCATGTAAGGCAGTTCTGCACATGGATGTGAACATCTTGTTTCAGCTTGGGCCAATAGTAGTACAATGCTATGCGTTTGAGTGTCTTAAGAAACCCTCCATGGCCTGCCATCGGGGTACCATGGGCTTCATGCAAGAGTTTGTCCCGAAGGCCCGGTACATTTGGAATTACAATGCACCCCTTATAAAATAAAGTTTGACGTACCATTTTGAAACCTGGAAAGGAAGACGCGTCAGTTGACAACCCCTGGATAATTTTATGGGTGTAGGGATCAGTTCTTAAACCCTCATATACCGCTGCAATAGCCAAACAATAAGGGATTGCAAATGTGAGGAAATTTACTTGTTGGGGTCTACGAGAGAGTGCATTGGCCCCCTTGTTTTCTCTTCCCGATTTGTGCGTAATTGAAAACTCATAAGGCATCAGCTTCATCAGTAAACGCTGTTGTTCATGATTAGTAACCCGCTGCTCCAATAAGAACTTCAAGGTGTAAAGATCAGTTCGCACGAAGAAGTGTTGTCCCATAAGATAATGATTCCATTTTTGCACAGCTAGGACCAAAGCCAATAGTTCACGATCATATGCCGATTGAGGCGATTAGATGGTGAAAACCCTTTGCTAAAATAGGTGATGGGGTGGTCTTCTTGAATTAAGATGGCCCCAACTCCCTCTGATAAGGCATCACGTTCCACGATGAAAGGCAATGAGAAATCTGGCAGGCGGAGAACAGGGGCTGAAATAAGCAACTGTTTCAGTTTAGTAAAAGCTGTCATTGTCTCATCATTCCACAAAAACCCATCTTTCTTGGTCAAGGCTATCAGGGGGCGTGCAATCAACACATAATGCCGTATGAAACGGAGATAATATCCTGTTAAGCCCAAAAATCCCCGTACCTCACGAACATTAGTAGCTATGGGCCACACTTGAACTGCTGCTACCTTCTCTTGATCAACTTGCACCCCTGCGGAAGTAACCAAGTGTCCTAAAAATAGAACTTGTGATTGACCAAAACAACACTTGGAGAGCTTGGCAAAGAACTTCTGTTTTTGTAATAGTTCTAGTGAAGTTTGTAAGTGCTGGACATGCAAGTCTCTAGTATGGCTGTAAATCAAGATATCATCGAAAAAAAGAAGTATAAATCTGCGCAAGTAGGGCCGAAAGAGGTCATTCATGGCTGCTTGGAATGTTGAGGGGGCATTAGTTAATCCAAACGGCATAACCATGAATTCATAGTGTCCCGAATGGGTCCGGAAGGCTGTCTTCTCAATGTCAGAGGGATTTACCCGTATTTGGTAGTAACCTGATCGCAAATCCAACTTTGAGAACACAGTGGCTCCATGCAATTCATCCAACATATATGTTTGGGATTGGATATTTGTCAGCCACTGTAACCTTGTTCAAAGCTCGATAGTCGACACACATACGCCATGTATTGTCTTTCTTCTTATCCAATAACAGAGGGCTAGAGAATGGGCTGGTACTGGCTCTTATAAACTATGCTGTCTGCAGTGTTTGCACTTGCTTTTCAATCTCATTTTTTTGTGAATGGGGTATCAGTAAGGGTGTATATTGGGAGGTACTGTATTGGTTAATAGAGGGATAGAGTGATAGTGTGATGGAAAGGGTGGAAGGGTTGTAGGTTCAATGAATACAGATGCAAAGTTGTGGAATAATGATTGTAAGTCTGTGGGTATCGCGGGTAGGGTTTCCGATTCAATATTAAGGTGTTGAAAAGCTGCAGACTGCTGAGGACCAGAAACTAAGCCTTGCAGCTTGTATTTCTGCCCATTGATGGTAAAAATAAGGAACATTTCATTCCAATTAGCCTGCACGGTGTTTAGACTTGCCAACTATTGAATTCCTAGGACAACATTTGCTCCTCCAATAGAAAAAGGATAGAAGTCCCGAGTAATTGTAAGCTTTGGCAGCTGTAGAGGAATTTCTCTGCACACTTTATTACACCTGATTATGTCCCCATTCCCAATTTGAACCCCAAATGGCGGTACCAGTTGGGTTGTTAACTTTAATTCCTACACCAAGTTATCTGAGATAAAATTATGAGTTGAGCCACTATCAACTAAAATTAGGACCTCTGTTGCGTTTATAGTTCCATGTAGCTTCATTGTAGTGGTGTGTGATTTGCCCAAGATGGCGGGTAGACTAATTTCCGCTAGATCTTCCTGGGAAATAGCCTCTTCTTCTCCCACAACTTGTACGGAATCATCCTTTTCCTCCGTCGCGTGTAGTAATTTGAAAGTCCCTGTTTTACATCGGTGTCTAGGACTATACTTGTCACCACATTGAAAAAATTCGCCCCTTAGGAAGCATGCCTGTTTCTCAATATCAGAAATGCGTAGAGGATTCTTTTGAGGAACAGGTGGAGGATTATTGGGAGGATTTAGTTGTGAGGGAGTTTTGAAACTGCCAGCAGAAGCAGCTCCTCTTCCTGAACGAGAACATCCAATCTTAGATTCAAATTCAAGGGCTCATCGCATTGTACACCGTTCTAGGCTTATGAATCCTGACATCCGCCTATAACTCCTCCTTGAGTCCATTCAGAAAGACCCCTAGCAGGCAGTTATCCGGCCAATTGGAAACGCGAGCAGATCTTTTGGCGAATTCCTGTCTGTATTCTTGGACGGATCCGGTCTGCTTGATACTGCACCAGTACTCATCTGCATTTTGATATTGAGCAGGACCAAAATTCTTTTGTAATGCCTGAACCAGATCTTCCCAGTAGATGATACCCTGACCCGCATTTAGCCATGAATATATGTCTAAAGCGTCTCCTTCCAAGTACATGACCGCGATATCCACCTTTTCATCTTCAGGTACATTGTAGCAACGGAAATACTTTTCTGCCTTTAGAATCCAGCCTCTAGGATCTCCATCACTAAATACAGGGAAATATATATGGTTTTAAGGGCGATAAGGACGATTGTTTCTCCAAGAGTACTCACCATCATCGGCAAGATCTTTATGACCACGTTTAAAACTGCTGTTAATAGAAGATGTAGCATGAGACTTGAGGGCGGCGATGTCGTCTTTCAGGGATTCCATGACTGCTAGTCTCTCGGCGATGGCGGCTAACTGGACGGAAATGGGGTCAGGTTCTGCGCCCCCGTCTTCTGATTGGTTACTCCGGGTTGTTGGTGCCGTTTGATTCCCGGCAACAGAACCAAACGGTAATGCTTGAGTCAAATTGATTGAATTTAGAATGAAAAAGTGTACATCAAGTCCCAATTCAAGAAGGGATAGTCTCCAGATTTTCAATTGAAAATAAAATGAAAAATAATCACCCAGAAAATAACATGGCTCTAAGTAATAAATCCCACTCTTAGGGGAGTTGGGTAACTGCTACGTAACCCACCTGCTCAGCCACTTAGTGGGTTGTTTGAGATGCCTATTAGCATTTTGAGCCGCTCCGCTTCTGCCGGCCCACCCTTTGCCATCTTCTTTTTCCTTCTTGAATATACCAATCTGATTGGAGGCTTATCAGCACACTTCTCGGAGAAGATAGATACGATAGGGAGATATGCTAGGGGCCATCAGGCCATCCCATTGAAATCGGTGAAGTCAGTGGGTGGAGATCTAAAAAAGCTCCTTATTGGGAGAGTTTCCATATCTCCTGATTTTTAAACCAAAATCTAATTTTGCTCACCAAACACAATTTTTAGAAACTTGATATCGGAGATATCAAATCCCATATCCTTTTACCCCATCGAACACATCCTTAAGGTTTTTTTTGGTTGTGTTCTCAATGAAGATGTAAGTTAAGACAGTGTTTGACTGCTATTTAGCAGAATTCACAAGATTTATAAAATATGTTTACCAATTTTGCCTAGGTATACTGATTGTTTCTTATGTCAGGAAAATATTTATCGGTGCTTCCTGTGGACCCCAAGCTGGGGAAAATGCTAGTAATGGGTGCTATTTTCTGTTGCTTTGATCCCATATTGACCATTGTTGCTGGCCTCAGTGTCAGGGATCCTTTTCTTTTGCCTCAGGATAAGAAGGATGTAAGTGTACTGCTTTTTGTGGTAATCTTTGTTTCCAAGGTGTGATCAACTGTTGTAACTTTTTTTGACTTTTTTTTGACAAACAAATAGTTAAATTTAGAAAAGATTATAGTTGTTTTGTAAGTGGAGAGCAGAAGCATCCAGTCCGTAACAGTGCGAAGACCTGCAACATTCATTTTCCACGATCCAGGAGACCTGTTCCGACTTGGAGTCTTGCAATTATGGAAGTCTGATTTATTAGAGGTTGAGCTGAAAGCATGCGATTAATTAAGAGATAATTATCCATTGCACAATGAGTCAGAGTGTGTATAGAAGAAAGAAAAGAGTTGGCTTGAAGTTGAAATCCTAATCCTATGTGAAGTGCTAGAACTCCTAGTCTTATAAGGATTGTAAGGAGTGTTTTACTTTTATTTACATCGGGTTAAAGGTCTTCTATAAATACCACTAGTCTCAAAAAATGCATTAGGGATCCAGCTTATAATATTCATTTTTGTTAGTCTAGAGACACACTGATGAGATACATATCCACAGCGTAAACAAAAGAAACACATCTTCGTCATTGGAATGATCATGCACAAATGGGAGAGATGTACGACCATAATGTCTTCGTTTGCTGATCAGGAGTTGGGCTGTCAACACGTCCTTTGAAGATACGCTGGTGAAGGGGTGATAGCCATAAAGCAAGCTCGGACAGGGTTCGAGCTAGAAGTCTTAGTTTTGAGGTTTTGTAATAACAATTTGGAAATGTGTCATCATGTTGTTCTTGATCGATGCAACCTGCTTTAAAGATTTAGTGAAGGGCTATTACATGGGCGTGGGTCCTGCAGATTAAGAGGATTTCTTCGAATTGCGTAAACAATTCTTTGTGTACTGCTTACTGCATTCCTTTATTTCTATTTTCTGTGTGCGGTACTGAAGATGTTGTAGCACATTCTGTGTCATTTTTTACAGTGATATAGCGTTCTGGATATTTCAATATTTTATACTTTTATTGCTTGTACTTTCAAATTTTAAATCTTCAGCTAATATATATTCCATCACCGTCTCATGATATTTTTCATGTTGAAATAATCATGATGATGACGGTTTTAGATTTTTCAGTTTAGTATTCCTTGTGAAGAAGGTTGTAACAAGAAAGGCATCTTGTGTAAAACATTTTTAATATGCTTTTGTCCATCAAAATATAGATTTAACTTTTAAGTAATTTTGTACAATTAATTAGCATAATACATTGAATGCCACCAACCTCAACTAGTTGGGAATTGGGATTAAGATGTTGGTTATGGTGTTGTAATTGATGATGATAATGTTTATGATGATGAAGTTAGCTGGGACAGCAAAGTCAAGATTTTCAGCCAAGGACTATAGTGATCACATGGCTCTTGTCCGTGCCTATGAAGGTTGGAAAGATGCTGAAAGAGAAGGTTCTGCATATGAATATTGTTGGAGAAACTTCCTTTCTGCTCAAACACTTCAAGCCATTCATTCTCTTCGTAAGCAATTTTCCTTCATCTTGAGAGATGCCAGCTTGCTTGAAGAAGAAAATGCAGCTAATAATAAGTTTAGTCACAATCAATCATTAGTCCGTGCAGTCATATGCTCTGGTTTATATCCTGGAATTGCATCTGCAGTAGTAAGGCATTCTCTCATCTAAAATTTGTGTAGCACTCTTATTCCTTATTTCAACGGAGATGAGTTTTCTTTCTTTTCTATGTGCAGCACAGAGAGACATCAATGTCTTTCAAGACAATGGATGATGGTCAAGTTTTACTTTATGCTGTAAGTGTGATTATGTGTCATTATCAACTATAACTTGGGGATTATTATTTACTTGATGAACTGATGAGCTTGCACAGTTTATACTGCATAATCTTTGCCAAACATGTGAAAACATCTTTTATTTTATTAAAATCATTCTGGTTAAATATCCTATACCGATTATTGATATTAAAGTTTTTGAATTTTATTTGGTTCATAAACATTTTCCCCTCATTTATCGTATCAAGTTTTCTATCCATGGTAAACTTTTGAGTTATATGCATATAAAGTCCTTGTAGTATTTAATAAGTGGGTAAATAGTCCTCAAACTTTTAAAAGTTGTCAAATAGTCCCTATTGTCAAACAACCATAGCATAATTAGTCCCTATATTAGAAAATTCATAAAATGTACACAACACGCGCGTATTATGCAAAGACGTCAATCATGTCATTGTAAAAAGAAGCTAATCTGAAAGTTTAGTTGTGATGTGTAACTTTGAACCATAGTACAATATCTTCCATCTTTTAGTTTAGCTCTTACAACTAATTCTCTGTCTCTCCTATAATGATATTCTTGAATCGTAGTACAATGTCCTACGCGAGCTCGACATTATTTTGTTTTTCAAGTACCTTTATTCTAATGTAAAATCATGTGAGAAAAGATGTTGAAAAAGATCATACATTGCCTCTAACCATGAATAGACCTGGCAAAATTTGACCCGACCCGTTATTATTCCGAAACCCGACCCCAAATTAGCGGGTTTTGAACATTGATTTTGCGACCCGAGCTCGAAGACCCGTTAACTTTTCGGGTCAGAACGGGTCAGGTCGGGTTTGACCCGACGGGTTATGCACTTAATTGCTTATTTTTATTAGTCATTTAGTTTTATATATGCATTTAAAATATGATATATCCATTAGACTACTTAAAACTCAAAAGGCTTAAAACCTAATCTAAATCCATTAACATTCCAGCCCCCTTCTCTCTCTCTTTATATATACTCTCTCTCTCTCTCTCTCTCTCTCTCTATATATATATATATATATATATGTATATGTATATATATATATATATATATATATATCGTTCTTCCACCGTTCGTCGATATTAAATGTCGACTCAATCAAAATGGTGAGAAGACACAAGATCAATCGTTGAATTTTTAATCCTATTTCATCGTCTTCAATTACTCCTACGTGTAACTCAAGTTTTAATTCTTTTCTTTTGTTTTGGTATGTCGCAAAAATCTCAATTTCTTTATAATGCATATATATTTTTGGGAATGTTGAAAGAATCTTCAATTTTTTCATCTGATGCAATTTTTTTGATATGCTGCAAAAAGGTGATTTTTTTGGGTATATTGCAATTCTCTTTTGGTATGTTGCAAATACAATTGCAAACTTTTATGATTTCGTTCTTTGTTTTGAATAATGCTCGGATCACATGATCTTTTAATATCAAAAATTTTAATTTTTAAATACACCTCTTAACCCGTTGGGTCAACCCAAACCCGATAACTCTGGGTCATGAACAAAGACCCGAACCCGAAGTGACCCGAACCCAAAATAACCCAAACCCGATTATACCGAACCCGAACCCGACCTGATCGACCGTTTTGCCAGGTCTAACCATGAAGATGAGGGCAATTTCATGAGATAAACTTCTTGTTTTGTTGCATGCTTCACATTTTAACACAGTACGCCTATGTTCTGTGTGCGTTATGTTTTTCTTAAAGAAGGGACTAATTATGCATTAGTTCTTTGACCACGGGGACTATTTTGCAACTTTTAAAAGTATAGGGACTATTTACCTACTTATGAAAGACCACATGGACTATTTGTGCATTTAACTCTAAACTTTTATATTAGTTCATATTTATTCCCTGAGATGTGAACTGCTAGTGACATGTAACTTGAGATATAATAACAGATAGATTGTTAATTTGGTTAAGAGATTGCAATTTTGGTGTTTACAGTCCATGAAAATAATAGGAATACGAACAACAACAACAACCCAATATAACCCCAATATGTATACATGGGTTTAAATTTTTTTATTGGAATATAGTGTTTTTATTGATAATAGTAAAGGTCTATTGGAAGACCAATATGTATGCATGGGTTTAAGAATTTTTTTCACCACCTTTCAATGTTATTTCTTGCAAAATATACACTTTATTTCGAGCTCTTTACATTATTGCCTAAGTTCTATCAAGCTCGATATTTCAGAATTCTGTGAATGCACGCTATCAAACAGTTCCATATCCTTGGTTAGTGTTTGGTGAAAAGGTGAAAGTCAATACCGTCTTCATACGTGATTCAACTGGAGTATCTGATTCTATTTTGATCCTTTTTGGGGGTAATCTTAACTTCGGCACTACGGTACTACTTTTCCTATTGCGGTCAATATTTTTTATTTGATAATTTATGAATGTAATGTATTGTTGTTTTTCTATAAATTTTTATTTCTGTTTCTCACAGGCCGGGCACTTGAAAATGCTAAATGGTTATCTAGAATTCTTCATGGATCCCAGTTTGGCTGAGTGTTTCATGAACCTCAAAGTGCAGCTTGATGAGCTTATACAAAAGAAGGTATTGCTAAGGAATTTGATATTTATATTGCTAATAAATTGGATTTTTCTCTCATACCTGATGTTAAGTCAAGCTACGGGTACAATCAAGAATCAACATAACTAAAACCCTCAATAAATAAGATGCTGAAGGCTGCATGGATTACAATCATATGGTTCACAAAGTCTAAGAAATTTATTTGGAAACCTTTCACTGGTTTCTTCCTTTCTAGGAAGTTTCGGTTAGTAAATGCATCTTTGCAAAAGTGCCCAACTGAAACAGCTTTGTTATCATTTAGAGAGGTAAGGATGCAAATATATGTTGATGTGGACACCAATGGATCTGAGATTATATTGAATTTTATTGGTTTTTTTGGCCAAAACCAATGGCATCATATTTGGGATAGGAACTAGTCGATTGACCATAAATGTTTATTGAAAGTATAATTACTTGTCTCTTTATATGGCCGCGAGGAGTTTTAGATATGTATTGAGGGCCCATCACAAGTCACCTAAAATAGGTCCAAGTACTCAATTTCCGAAGCGGGCGACCAAAAGGTAAACAAGGCAAAGTAATAAGTAATAAGTGTGCATGTCTATATACACGCTATGGTGCTCCATTCAATCTCGAAGTAGTTCTTATCCCCCATAAATCTCCAACCCAGCCCACTCCATATACCCCGCCCCAACCCCCTAGGCCGCCACAGTCAATCCTTTTGTGGTCATTGTTAAAGTTTGACAGTAGATTGTCACCAAAAGGTGGGCGGGGGGGGGGGGGGGNTATTTACGTGCTACCTTGAAACTTAGTTTTGTTAAGATAAATGATATTTCATCTATTAAAAATGTGGTTATTTTTAGTCAATTAGTGATATATTTACTTTTTTGTTTTTTATAGAATGTATTACTACACACTTATTATGATTTGTCGACTGATCCTCGACTAGGCTGACCGATTAAACCAACTTGTAATTCCACATTATATGTTGGCCTAGATGCTGCCATTTCAGGATTTTGTAACGTTGTAAGCATCATAGTTTATAAGGCATCGCCTAGGCGATAAGGCGCTATCCCTTGGATGCCTAGTCTGCTTGCCTCGCCCGAAAAACCTCAAGGCGTTCGGCGCTTGGCTAGGCGTCGCCTTGGCGCCTTGGGCCCCTTTAAACTTTTAAAATGTTTAAAAAGATTTGACTTAAACTTGTGACCTACGATACACACACACACACACAAACACACACACACAGAATCTAAGTACTCTGTCAATTCTACGATGAGAATAAGTAGAATCAAAGAATCGGCTTTTCACAATCAAATCCAAATGGCTCCTAATATTGGTGGAGCACATTGATTGTTTTTGGTACCTGCTTCTAATTCAGACTTAATTTGCTACATCTATATTTATGCAGGCATATGTCTTATCAAAGTACCCATTGTTTTTTTCTTTTCTAATATCGACATTGGGCATCTTACCATATGCTTGACCAAGTGCACATCAATTTACCCTTAACATACAAAAGACTGAATAATAATCTTTTCTTATAATTTTAGAGAAGGGGTAGGGCGGGTCGTGTGCAGCCTGGCGAGTGCTACCACTTATATCCACGATGTGTTTATGAAGCTTTTGCTGAGTATCAATTACCTGAACTTCTAAGAACTCCTCTAAATTCACTTTGCCTGCAAATAAAGAGTTTGCAAGTTGGAATTATTGCTGAATTTCTGTCTGCGGCTCTTCAACCACCAGAGCCATTGGCTGTAAGTAATTACTCGTCTGTATGACTTGTGAAATGTTACATGTGTTCAATGCTATATTGAAAAATTCTCCTATCACACTTTTTTATATGTATTTTGTACTAATATTATGCATATTCTCTTACCTTATTCTAAAGTTTTGATTGATAGTACTTGATAAGTGATTAAAATTGATCATGATTGAGGGACCTTTGTCACCTCATACAAGACGTTTCCTTTTAATTTTTGTCATTGTTGGGATACATTTTGAGAAACATACCACTTTATATCGAGGATGTGGTTAGTCTTCATATATATGGCGTGTTGTTTATCATTTGTCATGTACAAATGATCCCAAATAACTGTGTTGATTTTTATTAGAGTGCATTAAGCCTAAGCACCACCTTGCGTTTTTCATAAACTGTCATCTTTTAATAGCTTCTCCCAAAAATATCAACCACGAAATTCTTTTCTTATAAAGGACAAGAGAAGGTGATTTTTGGGCGGACAACATAGGAATGTAGGAAGTTCTTTGAGGGACGGGGGGAGTATACTACTGTCAGTATAAATGATTTAGGATCAAGAACTGTTGTGGTAATTGTGTGAACTTTCAAAAAAAAAATACAGTAGGACTAAATGGGAGTTGGCAGGGTCGGCTGTTTGGATTGTTATGTTGTTTAGGAATACGAGATGTCTAATTACAATTGCTCAAATATACAGGTCTAAACATCTAATACCTTGTTTTCTATGCACTAAAGCATGTTTTAACTTGAGATCTCAAGGAAATAAAAATTTATGTCATTCAGCATCTCAATTTCATTCGCCTATTGAAAGTTCTTAACATGTCACTAAATACATTCATGCTTTATTCTTTTGGTATTTTGGTATATTGCTGACTGCTGTTGTAATTTGTCACAGGTGCAAAATGCTATTGAGTTTTTGAAGATGATTGGTGCATTAGATGAACACGAAAATCTTACGCATCTCGGTATGACGGTATACATGATCAATGAATATAAAAACTCGAAATAATTACCTGTCTTCCGAAACTTCACAATTTTTTCCTACCACAAAGTTTACCCATTTACTTTTAGGCCCCGTTTGGTGAGTTTTGGAGTGATGATATGATAATGGGTTTTGAAGTCCCAAAGAAATGATATCGGTTTTGAAATCTGAAATGAAAGTGTGGAGAAAACAGAAAAGAAATCAATTCATATTAAAATCTTTAGTGAGCAATTGAAATCAAAATTTAAAAATAGTATTTTGTAGTTCTTACATTAACAATTAAATTCTTGAAGGTTTCTTTTTTTCCATCCTATTCCCAAAATTTTGATCATCTAGAATCAAAAGAAAGAAAGAAAAAGTTGCAGAGGAGAGAGGAATGGGATTGCTTGAATCAGAGAGTGCCCCTCACTGGAAACTTGATGCCTGTGATTTTCTTGCGAACAAATAGGAGCAAGACAAAGAGAATCCTGAATTTGCTGCCGCTAGAGACACATCCGCCACGGCCGCTAGAGGTAGAACCGAGATGCCATTCTCGCTGCTCCAGATTTGAGAAATGGTGGCCTGTGCACATGATAAAGCTTGAGTCAAATTGATTGAATTTAGAATGAAAAAGTGTACATCAAGTCCCAATTTGAGAAGGGAGAGTCTCCAGATTCTCAAGGGAAAATACAATGAAAAATAATCACCCAGAAAATAACATGACTCTAAGTAATAAATCCCACTCCTAGGGGAGTTGGGTAACTGCTATGTAACCCACCCGCTCAGCCACTTAGTGGGTTGTTTGAAATGCTCATTAACATTTTGAGCTGCTCCACTTCTTCCGGCCCGCCCTTTGCCATCTTCTTTTTCCAAAACGACTTGTCCTCAAGTCGAAAGGAAGGGAATTGAGCTCGCAACAGATCATAACACTCCCAGGTAGCTTCCTCCACTGGATGTTGACACCAAGAGATGAGTAATTCCAGCACATGTTGACCTGCTTCCCATACCCAGCGGTGAGAGAGAACTTCTTTAGGCTGCACGTCAAATTCCCAGTCCTTTGTGATGGGGAGGGGAGCAATAGGTGAAGTCGGAACTTGCCCCCTAGCTGGTTTCAGCATTGATACAGGAAACACCGGATGAATGCAAGCATCTTGAGGCAATTCCTACTCATAAGAAACAGGCCCCACCTTGCGTGTAACTTTGTAAGGCCCAAAGAACCGGGGAAAAAGCTTATCATATCGCCGTTTAGCCAAGCTTTTTTTGCCTATAGGGTTGTATCTTTAGAAACACCACATCCCCTACTTCAAATGAGAGTTCTCTGTGTTTTGTACCAGCTTGAGATTTCATTCGATCTTGAGCTTTTTGCAGATTGTGTTTTAAGATTTTCAGCATATCATCCCTGGTTATCAGTTGATCTTCTAACTCAGCATTCTTAGTTTCCCCAGCGATGTAAGGATGGAAGGGAGGAGGGTCACGACCATAAACTGCCGAGAAAGGAGTGGTGTTGATGGCAGTGTGAAACCCAGTATTGTAGGAGTACTCGGCCCATGACAGAAGCGAACTCCATTTGTGAGGCTGCTCCTGAGCAAAGCAACGAAGGTAAGCCTCTAAGCATCGATTGAGGACTTCAGTATGTCCATCCGTTTGGGGTGGTAACTAGTACTCAACTTCAAAGTGGTCTGACTGAGGCGAAAGAGCTCCTGCCAGAAGTGACTCAGAACTATCACATCCCTATCAGAGATAATAGATCGTGGAAAACCATGAAGACGAACAATTTCCTTGCAAAACACAGCAGCAACTCCTATGGCTGTAAATGGATGAGTGAGAGGCAAAAAGTGAGCGTATTTGCTTAATCGGTCGACCACCACAAAAATGGTATCAAACTTGTTAGATGTGGGTTGCCCTGTAATGAAATCTATAGAGATGTGTTCCCAGATTTGCTGCGGTATAGGAAGTGGTTGAAGTAATCCTGCTGGTGTTAAAGGGTCATACTTCTGCTGTTGGCATGTAAGGCAGTTCTGCACATGGATGCGAACATCTTGTTTCAGCTTGGGCCAATAGTAGTACAATGATATGCGTTTGAGTGTCTTAAGAAACCCCCCATGGCCTGCCATCGGGGTACCATGGGCTTCATGCAAGAGTTTGTCCCGAAGGCCCGGTACATTTGGAATTACAATGCGCCCCTTATAAAATAAATTTTGACGTACCATTTTGAAACCTGGAAAGGAAGACGCGTCAGTTGACAACCCCTGGATAATTTTATGGGTGTAGGGATCAGTTCTTAAACCCTCATATACCGCTGCAATAGCCAAACAATAAGGGATTGCAAATGTGAGGAAATTTACTTGTTGGGGTCTACGAGAGAGTGCATCGGCCCCCTTGTTTTCTCTTCCCGATTTGTGCGTAATTGAAAACTCATAAGGCATCAGCTTCATCAGTAAACGCTGTTGTTCATGAGTAGTAACCCGCTGCTCCAATAAGAACTTCAAGGTGTAATGATCAGTTCGCACGAAGAAGTGTTGTCCCATAAGATAATGATTCCATTTTTGCACAGCTAGGACCAAAGCCAATAGTTCACGATCATATGCCGATTGAGGCGATTAGATGGTGAAAACCCTTTGCTAAAATAGGTGATGGGGTGGTCTTCTTGAATTAAGATGGCCCCAACTCCTTCTGATAAGGCATCACGTTCCACGATGAAAGGCAATGAGAAATCTGGCATGCGGAGAACAGGGGCTGAAATAAGCAACTGTTTCAGTTTAGTAAAAGCTGTCATTGTCTCATCATTCCACAAAAACCCATCTTTCTTGGTCAAGGCTATCAGAGGGCGTGCAATCAACCCATAATGCCGTATGAAACGGCAATAATATCCTGTTAAGCCCAAAAATCCCTGTACCTCACGAACATTAGTAGCTATGGGCCACACTTGAACTGCTGCTACCTTCTCTTGATCAACTTGCACCCCTGCGGAAGTAACCAAGTGTCCTAAAAATAGAACTTGGGACTGACCAAAACAACACTTGGAGAGCTTGGCAAAGAACTTCTGTTTTTGTAATAGTTCCAGTGAAGTTTGTAAGTGCTGGACATGCAAGTCTCTAGTATGGCTGTAAATCAAGATATCATCGAAAAAAAGAAGTATAAATCTGCGCAAGTAGGGCCGAAAGAAGTATAAATCTGCAGCTTGTATTTCTGCCCATTGATGGTGAAAATAAGGAACATTTCATTCCAATTAGCCTGCACGGTGTTTAGAGATGCCAACTATTGAATTCCTAGGACAACATTTGCTCCTCCAATTGAAAAAGGATAGAAGTCCTGAGTAATTGTAAGCTCTGGCAGCTGTAGAGGAATTTCTCTGCACACTTTATTACACCTGATTATGTCCCCATTCCCAATTTGAACCCCAAATGGCAGTACCAGTTGGTTTGTTAACTTTAATTCGTACACCAAGTTATCTGAGATAAAATTATGAGTTGAGCCACTATCAACTAAAATTAGGACCTCTGTTGCGTTTATAGTTCCATGTAGCTTCATTGTAGTGGTGTGTGATTTGCCCAAGATGGCGGGTAGACTAATTTCCGCTAGATCTTCCTGGGAAATAGCCTCTTCTCCCACAACTTGTACGGAATCATCCTTTTCCTCCGTCGCGTGTAGTAATTTGAAAGTCCCTGTTTTACATCGGTGTCTAGGACTATACTTGTCACCACATCGAAAAAATTCGCCCCTTAGGAAGCATGCCTGTTTCTCAATATCACAAATGCGTAAAGGAGGATTCTTTTGAGGAACAGGTGGAGGATTATTGGGAGGATTTAGTTGTGAGGGAGTTTTGAAACTGCAAGCAGAAGCAGCTCCTCTTCCTGAACGAGAACATCCAATCTTAGATTCAAATTCAAGGGCTCATCGCATTGTACACCGTCCTAGGCTTATGAATCCTGACATCCGCCTTTAACTCCTCCTTGAGTCCATTCAGAAAGACCCCTAGCAGGCAGTTATCCGGCCAATTGGATACGCTAGCAGATCTTTTGGCGAATTCCTGTCTGTAATCTTGGACGGATCCGGTCTGCTTGATACTGCACCAGTACTCATCTGGATTTTGATATTGAGCAGGACCAAAATTCTTTTGTAATGCCTGAACCAGATCTTCCCAGTAGATGATACCCTGACCCGCATTTAGCCATGAATATATGTCTAAAGCGTCTCCTTCCAAGTACATGACCGCGATATCCATCTTTTCATCTTCAGGCACATTGTAGCAACGGAAATACTTTTCTGCCTTTAGAATCCAGCCTCTAGGATCTCCATCACTAAATACAGGGAAATATATCTGGTTATAAGGGCAATAAGGACGATTGTTTCTCCAAGAGTACTCACCATCATCGGCAGGATCGTTATGACCACGTTTAAAACTGCTGTTACTAGAAGATGTAGCATGAGACTTGTGGGCGGCGACGTCGTCTTTCAGGGATTCCATGACTGCTAGTCTCTCGGCGATGGCGGCTAACTGGACGGAAATGGGGTCAGGTTCTGCGCCCCCGCCTTCTGATTGGTTACTCCGGGTTGTTGGTGCCATTTGATTCCCGGAAACAGAACCAAACGGTAATGCTTGAGTCAAATTGATTGAATTTAGAATGAAAAAGTGTACATCAAGTCCCAATTCAAGAAGGGATAGTCTCCAGATTTTCAATGGAAAATAAAATGAAAAATAATCACCCAGAAAATAACATTGCTCTAAGTAATAATTCCCACTCTTAGGGGAGTTGGGTAACTGCTACGTAACCCACCTGCTCAGCCACTTAGTGGGTTGTTTGAGATGCCTATTAACATTTTGAGCTGCTCCGCTTCTGCCGGCCCATCCTTTGCCATCTTCTTTTTCCTTCTTGAATATACCAATCTGATTGGAGGCTTATCAGCACACTTCTCGGAGAAGATAGATACGATAGGACGATATGCTAGTGGCCATCAGGCCATCCCATTGAAATCGGTGAAGTCAGTGGGTAAAAGGAGATCTAAAAAAGCTCCTTATTGGGAGAGGTTCCATATCTCCTGATTTTTAAACCAAAATCTAATTTTGCTCACCAAACACAATTTTCAGAAACTTGATATCGGAGATATCAAATCCCATATCCTTTTACCCCATCAAACACATCCTTAAGGTTTTTTTTGGTTGTGTTCTCAATGAAGATGTAAGTTAAGACAGTGTTTGACTGCTATTTAGCAGAATTCACAAGATTTATAAAATATGTTTACCAATTTTGCCTAGGTATACTGATTGTTTCTTATGTCAGGAAAATATTTATCGGTGCTTCCTGTGGACCCCAAGCTGGGGAAAATGCTAGTAATGGGTGCTATTTTCTGTTGCTTTGATCCCATATTGACCATTGTTGCTGGCCTCAGTGTCAGGGATCCTTTTCTTTTGCCTCAGGATAAGAAGGATGTAAGTCTACTGCTTTATGTGGTAATCTTTGTTTCCAAGGTGTGATCAACTGTTGTAACTTTTATTGACTTTTTTTGACAAACAAATAGTTAAATTTAGAAAAGATTGTAGTTGTTTTGTAAGTTAGTGGAGAGCAGAAGCATCCAGTCCGTAACAGTGCGAAGACCTGCAACATTCATTTTCCACGATCCAGGAGACCTGTTCCGACTTGGAGTCTTGCAATTATGGAAGTCTGATTTATTAGAGGTTGAGCTGAAAGCATGCGATTAATTAAGAGATAATTATCCATTGCACAAAGAGTCAGAGTGTGTATAGAAGAAAGAAAAGAGTTGGCTTGAAGTTGAAATCCTAATCCTATGTGAAGTGCTAGAACTCCTAGTCTTATAAGGATTGTAAGGAGTGTTTTACTTTTATTTAGATCGGGTTAAAGGTCTCTTATAAATACCACAAGTCTCAAAAAATGCATTAGGGATCCAGCTTATAATATTCATTTTTGTTAGTCTAGAGACACACTGATGAGATACATATCCACAGCGTAAACAAAAGAAACACATCTTCATTGGAACGATCATGCACAAATGGGAGAGATGTACGACCATAATGTCTTCGTTTGCTGATCAGGAGTTGGGCTGTCAACACGTCCTTTGAAGATACGCTGGTGAAGGGGTGATAGCCATAAAGCAAGCTCAGACAGGGTTCGAGCTAGAAGTCTTAGTTTTGAGGTTTTGGAATAACAATTTGGAAATGTGTCATCATGTTGTTCTTGATCGATGCAACCTGCTTTAAAGATTTAGTGAAGGGCTATTACATGGGCGTGGGTCCTGCAGATTAAGAGGATTTCTCCGAATTGCATAAACAATTCTTTGTGCACTGCTTACTGCATTCCTTCATTTCTATTTGTGTGTGCGGTACTGAAGATGTTGTAGCACATTGTTTGTCATTTTTTACAGTGATATAGCGTTCTGGATATTTCAATATTTTATACTTTTATTGCTTGTACTTTCAAATTTTAAATCTTCAGCTAATATATATTCCATCACCGTCTCATGATATTTTTCTTGTTGAAATAATCATGATGATGACGGTTATAGATTTTTCAGTTTAGTACTCCTTGTGAAGAAGGTTGCAACAAGAAAGGCATCTTGTGTAAAACATTTTTAATATGCTTTTGTCCATCAAAATATAGATTTAACTTTTAAGTAATTTTGTACAATTAATTAGCATAATACATTCAATGCCACCAACCTCAACTAGTTGGGAATTGGGATTAAGATGTTGGTTATGGTGTTGTTATTGATGATGATAATGTTTATAATGATGTAGTTAGCTGGGACAGCAAAGTCAAGATTTTCAGCCAAGGACTATAGTGATCACATGGCTCTTGTCCGTGCCTATGAAGGTTGGAAAGATGCTGAAAGAGAAGGTTCTGCATATGAATATTGTTGGAGAAACTTCCTTTCTGCTCAAACACTTCAAGCCATTCACTCTCTTCGTAAGCAATTTTCCTTCATCTTGAGAGATGCCAGCTTGCTTGAAGAAGAAAATGCAGTTAATAATAAGTTTAGTCACAATCAATCATTAGTCCGTGCAGTCATATGCTCTGGTTTATATCCTGGAATTGCATCTGCAGTAGTAAGGCATTCTCTCATCTAAAATTTGTGTAGCACTCTTATTCCTTATTTCAACGGAGATGAGTTTTCTTTCTTTTCTATGTGCAGCACAGAGAGACATCAATGTCTTTCAAGACAATGGATGATGGTCAAGTTTTACTTTATGCTGTAAGTGTGATTATGTGTCATTATCAACTATAACTTGGGGATTATTATTTACTTGATGAACTGATGAGCTTGCACAGTTTATACTGCATAATCTTTTCCAAACATGTGAAAACATCTTTTATTTTATTAAAATCATTCTGGTTAAATATCCTATACCGATTATTGATATTAAAGTTTTTGAATTTTATTTGGTTCATAAACATTTTTCCCTCATTTATCGTATCAGGTTTTCTATCCATGGTAAACTTTTGAGTTATATGCATATTAAAGTCCTTGTAGTATTTAATAAGTGGGTAAATAGTCCTCAAACTTTTAAAAGTTATCAAATAGTCCCTATAGTCAAACAACCATAGCATAATTAGTCCCTATATTAGAAAATTCGTAAAATGTACACAACACGCGCATATTATGCAAAGACGTCAATCATGTCATTGTAAAAACAAACTAATCTGAAAGTTTAGTTGTGATGTGTAACTTTGAACCATAGTACAATATCTTCCATCTTTTAGTTTAGCTCTTACAACTAATTCTCTGTCTCTCCTATAGTGATATTCTTGAATCGTAGTACAATGTCCTACGCAAGCTCGACATTATTTTGTTTTTCAAGTACCTTTATTCTAATGTAAAATTGTGTGAGAAAAGATCTTGAAAAAGATCATCCATTGCCTCTAACCATGAAGATGAGGGCAATTTCATGAGATAAACTTCTTGTTTTGTTGCATGCTTCACATTTTAACACAGTACGCCTATGTTCTGTGTGCTTTACGTTTTTCTTAAAGAAGGGACTAATTATGCATTAGTTCTTTGACCACGGGGACTATTTTGCAACTTTTAAAAGTATAGGGACTATTTACCTACTTATGAAAGACCACATGGACTATTTGTGCATTTAACTCTAAACTTTTATATTAGTTCATATTTATTCCCTGAGATGTGAACTGCTAGTGACATGTAACTTGAGATATAATAACAGATAGATTGTTAATTTGGTTAAGAGATCGCAATTTTTGTTTTTAAAGTCCATGAATATAATAGGAATATGAACAACAACAACAACCCAATATAACCCCAATATGTATACATGGGTTTAAAATTTTTTATTGGAAAAGTGTTTTTATTGATAATAGTAAAGGTCTATTGGAAGACCAATATGTATGCATGGGTTTAAGAATTTTTTTCACCACCTTTCAATGTTATTTCTTGCAAAATATACACTTTATTTCGAGCTCTTTACATTATTGCCTAAGTTCTATCAAGCTCGATATTTCAGAATTCTGTGAATGCGCGCTATCAAACAATTCCATATCCTTGGTTAGTGTTTGGTGAAAAGGTGAAGGTCAATACCGTCTTCATACGTGATTCAACTGGAGTATCTGACTCTATTTTGATCCTTTTTGGGGGTAATCTTAACTTCGGCACTACGGTACTACTTTTCCTATTGCGGTCAATATTTTTTATTTGATAATTTATGAATGTAAATTGTTGTTTTTCTATAAATTTTTATTTCTGTTTCTCACAGGCCGGGCACTTGAAAATGCTAAATGGTTATCTAGAATTCTTCATGGATCCCAGTTTGGCTGAGTGTTTCATGAACCTCAAAGTGCAGCTTGATGAGCTTATACAAAAGAAGGTATTGCTAAGGAATTTGATATTTATATTGCTAAGAAATTGGATTTTTCTCTCATACCTGATGTTAAGTCAAGCTACGGGTACAATCAAGAATCAACATAACTGAAGGCGAGATATTTACTTAAATAGGACTAAAACATAATGACTTTCCCAATATAGGACCATATGTTTTTATTTCCCAATGTAGTACCTTTGGTCATTATAAAGTAGTCATTATTCAAGTAAATGTCCATCATTATTGGACATTATTCCTTCTACTAGGTCATTATTAAGTCTTATTTAGGGAATAAAAAAGTTTAAGTCCTACATTGGGAAAGTCATTATGTTTTAGTCCTATTTAGTGCAAATTTCACAACTAAAAACCCTCAATAAATAAGATGCTGAAGGCTGCATGGATGACAATCGTATGGTTCACAAAGTCTAAGAAATTTATTTGGAAACCTTTCACTGGTTTCTTCCTTTCTAGGAAGTTTCGGTTAGTAAATGCATCTTTGCAAAAGTGCCCAACTGAAACAGCTTTGTTATCATTAAGAGAGGTAAGGATGCAAATATATGTTGATGTGGACACGAATGGATCTGAGATTATATTGAATTTTATTGGTTTTTTTGGCCAAAACCAATGGCATCGTATTTGGGATAGGAACTAGTCGATTGACCATAAATGTTTATTGAAAGTATAATTACTTGTCCCTTTATATGGCCGCGAGGAGTTTTAGATATGTATTGAGGGCCCATCACAAGTCACCTAAAATAGGTCCAAGTACTCAATTGGTCGTTCGAACTTCGAAGCGGGCGACCAAAAGGTAAACAAGGCAAAGTAATAAGTAATAAGTGTGCATGTCTATACACATGCTATGGTGCTCCATTCAATCTCGAAGTAGTTCTTATCCCCCATAAATCTCCAACCCAGCCCACTCCATATACCCCGCCCCAACCCCCTAGGCTGCCACAGTCAATCCTTTGGTGGTCATTGTTAAAGTTTTGACAGTAGACTGTCAACAAAAGGTGGGCAGGGGGGGGGTGGGTGTTAGGTTGGGCTAGTGGTGGAGGTTCATTAGTGTAGGAATCACTCCAGGGTCGAATGCAGCACTGCAGGGTACTCAAATAAGACCAATGCCATGTTATGACATTGGTGATGGACCATATGAAGATGGATGATCTTGAACAGAAAAATCTGGTCATGGGCTATCTCTCCTTGCTAAGGGGTAACTACCACTGCCTAAGCCACAACATTCGCATGCTGAGGTTTTGATGAACACACGGATGGATATTTTTGTTAACATAGCAAGGGAGGTTATTCTGTCTGAGAAACGCTTCGCTTCTGATTTCTCCTCTTCGACATAGAAACGGAGGTGTTGGTCTCCTTCCTTTTGAATCTCAGCCTTGTGAGAAGGGGCTTGATCCGGAGGTTAAACCAGGGAACATCCTTACTCCCGTCTGGTTTGACCGAGAGAGAGGACTCTATGCTAGAGAGCACCCCAAATAGGGCCAAGAGTCATTGGGCTGCAAAGCTCACCAGGTTGTATGGAAAAGCTCACCATGATTTTTTCACACATTGAATTTAAAAAAAAAAATCAAATGAGGTGCTGACTGGACTTTGACCCATGTTGACCACTGATGATTGGACTTTGACCGCTGACCGCCGCCTGCCTCCGTTTGCCGCCATCTGCCCCCGCCCACTGCCGTTCGCCGTTCACTGCCGTCCGCTGCCGCCGGTGACGGGTGGTTGACCGGTGGTCCTATTTAATTTTAATTATTTTTTCTTTTTAAAGTTTAAAAAAATGGAGAGTTTATGTGTTCAAAGTGGTGAGCTTTGCTTAAGTCCTTAGTGAGTTGCATTGGCAATTGGCAAGCTTTGCAGTATAATGTGGTGAGCATTCAGATCAGTTTTGTTGTTGGTGTCATCTTACCGTAGCATGTTATCCTACCATAAGGAGTCATACTGGAGTCAATCCCTATGTATATATAGCCACACTCGCTTGGATTCAATTCAAAATGTTGTGCTTTCTAAATACTACTCCCTTCGTCCCATAAAACCCTTCTTGTTTGAAAAAAAGTGCACCTTTAAAATTGTCAAGGAACCAACTCAACCACAAGCTCAAGCTTGTGGTTGTGGCCCAGGAACAGTTATTTATATTCTAACACGCCCCTCACGTGCAGGCGTAGTTTTTTTCGAGCCTTGCACGTGAAACCTTAATTTTTTTTAAACTGGGTGGCACTGAGTTTCTAACCCGTGACCTCTTAGTCAACGAGGCTCCGATACCATGTCAAGGAACCAACTCAACCACAAGCTTAAGTTTGTGATTGTGGTCCAGAAACAGTTATTTATATTCTAATAAAAATAAGTAATTTTGGTGTTATTTTCTAATTTTACCCTTACTTTATAATAGAATAGGATGAGATGTGTACGATAGACAAATCATAATTAGAAAATAACACCAAAATTACTCATTTTAAAGGGGCGCCTTTTTTCAAACTAGAAGGGTTTTATGGAATAGAGGGAGTAGTATACTACTCCTCCATCCCCTAGCAAACTAATTTTTGTCCTTTTTCGGTTGTTACAAGATAATCTTCACCTTTAAAGTGGTAGAGTCCTAACTTCTAAATAAATCCAAACTTCACAAACTCTGCCATCTTAAAATCCCATAAAAGCAAAGTTGAAGTTTATTTAGGGATGGAGGGGGTATGGTTTATAAGTGTACATTATAATATTTATTTCCTAGAAATAGTATTAGAAATTTTCATATAATTATTGTTACTATTATTATTACTATTGTTATAATAATAATAATTATAATTATTGTTATATTTATTACTGTTATTATATTTATTATTATTAATATATTTATTATTATTATTATAAAGACTAGAATAATGTGAAAAGTAAGGTGGTAGAATCCTAGAACTCCTAATATATGCCATCATCACTGTGACATCATCTTATTGACATAAGCCTTCATCATCTTGATTATTGTCTGTTTAAATTTAAATAGCTATAATTAGATTTTACGCGTACAATTAACATTTTAAGCTTACATAGACATATCATTCCCTCAGATTGTATGAGAGTAGCTCTTGGAGGGGCATCTTTTCGGGTATTCCATATCTTGTTTAAATCTGACCAAATTTATAGTACCATCAAAATCATATCCTCTGCAATAGCTCGTCACTTTATCTCGTTGCTAGATCCCCCACATGCAAGGTAGTCAAACTGTAATATTGAGTAAGTACCTAAAAATCGCGAGTTGAAAGATCACAAGATCCTACAATAATGTGTGTTAGAGGAAAAGTAAAGAATAGAGCGAAACAAGTGTATAGCAAGAAACACCTGCCTTCCCGAACCTTATTTCCGAGTGGGATCACCCACTGGGATGTACAGGGAATGTTTGGGTTGGTATTGGTTGGTTAACATTCACATGAACTTAACTTATTCTGATTTTCTTTGAATTAAAATGATGCAGCTTGAGGATCCTGGAAAGGATATGCACAAGGAAGGTAAATACCTAATGCTGGCGGTTCAGCAACTGGTTTCAGGGGATCAATGTGAAGGACGATTCGTGTTTGGCCGAGAGAGCAAGAAGCCCAAGGAGTCCAGTAACAATGACAANATGAATTCAGGGCACTTGTAGAGTTCAAGGGAATGCAGTTTGTGGGTAAACCAAAGAGAAACAAAGCTCTTGCTGAGAAAGATGCTGCAATTGAGGCACTGGCGTGGTTAACTCAAACTAAAGATAATAATGGTGAAGACAATAGTTCCCTTCCAGATGTTACTGACAACATGCTGAAACTTCTTCTTAGTAAGCGCCGGGCATCAAAAAGACGCTCAAGATGACATGTTTTTGGGTACAGACTGACTAATGTACTCTGTTGCAATGTGCCTTGGGATTACCACTGATTGATATGATGCTTCGTCTGTGACCGGTATGGCAGGCCAATTGATATCTATGATGCTCAGAATGACATGTTAAATCGTACTAGGACATTATTTTACAGTTAGTTTTTTTTGCAGGCTGCCAGTGTGATGTTTAAAACTGAAATTGAACATTCTGTAAGAGGAACACTAGTTGGTTTTATGCTTAGAGTATATAATGAAAGAGGATTCCAGCACCACAGCTACCTTGGGACTGCTTACCATGAGTATGGAAACAATTTTTGGGTCTGCGTTTTAAAATTGCTATCGTAGAGGGCTTACTAAAATGTAAAATTTTTTTTATTTCCTGCTTATTTTCACATCAGTTTTCTTCTCATACATTCTTTTTCTTGAATATGGAAAATGGAGCTCCTTTGAAATGACTTCTCTTTACAATGGGCTTTTTCTAAAATCAATGGCAATCACCCCTGTCGTTATGCACGCGTTAGGTAGAGCAATTCTCAATCCTTGCTCTCCCTAGTTCTATACTCTATGAATATCAATTTAAAACGTATGCCCTTCCCGTCTCTAAATAGCGCAGTTGGTTGATAAGGAGTGCTAAGAGGGATAGACATGAGTTTAATTTTGTTAGGCTAGGATACAACATGGGGTCTATAAGTACCTATTGTAGTCTGTAGACTCCAATCTTCATCAAGTGATTAAAGGTCAACTTATTCATCAAAACTTGACTGTTCCATTGGTCTCGGTTTCAGGGATGGGTACGCCCTTTTTCCTAAAAAAAACATTATTATTGTTTTTTCAGTCTTCAAAGCACGTTTTTGACCATTATTATACTTTTATATACATCTTTCTTCTAAAATGGAGTTTAATGTTTGACTTCATAAAATAAAGTGTTGAATAGAATGTGGTTAACATTTTATGGAAAGAGAAAAATGTTGTAAGTTACATGTTCTTTTTCCAAATAAAAAATAAAAGGTAGAATAAATTTTATCTTGAACAGAGTGTATTACTAAAATAATGATAAAGTATCATTTAAAGACTAATTTATGTTGATAGTTGAAGAGTGAAAGTATAAATTAGCATAAATGGGTCACTATTATTTGGGGGTGAAGTCGGGTGATGGAGAATAATCCTTTATAGAACCTCTGAAGGATTTGTTAATGGATAAGTTAAATTATATATGTATATAATTTTCAAAAATTACCAGAATTCATAAAATTGTCAAAATATGATTCTGGACTTTATGAAATTCAAAAATATGATTTTTGAATTAAAATTAGGTTATATTTTTAATTTTGGTGTTGTAATACTCCAACTCGAATAACCCGATTACCTAGATTATTTAAGTCGGAGTAGTTACCATGATGATAATTATGGATGATAATTTGATGAATAATTTAAAACCAATTAAACTTTAATATGAATTATAAATTCAAATATTAAGTTTCGGAGAAATGTCTGAAACAGCGCAGAAGCTTAAATATTAAACATAATCAAGTCGTATTACATTTTCTGGTAACTCGGCCGAAAAAGTATTTTATTTAAAGAAAACATAATGATTGTGGTCTACCAGTCTGTATATCTCATCACTCTCATTTACCTCCAGGACTGACTCCATGATCAGTGTTGTTACCTGCGTGTAGCAAGTAAAACAAACTACACGCTCACCGTCCGCTGAGGAATACACTAATACAACAATTCCAAGTTGAATAGTAGACCTGTGCAAATAAGGATCCGGGCCGGATCTGGGCCGGACTTGATACAAATTATTAGTCCATTTGCATGGGCGGGTTTGGCCCGGCCCGGATTTGATGGGCTAAATTCTTTACCCATACCCGCCCACTTTAGCGGGCCGAACTGCCCACCGGGCCGCCCGGCCCGGATAAAACATCAAGTAAATCATTTTTACACAAAAAAAATCAAAAAGAAAATATTGAACTCCTTTTCAAATGTTTAAAATAAAATTACCACTCGCCACATTTACATAGAAAACATAATAAAAATATTGTTACATAATTAATAAACCCATCATACATATCCATTAAAACACTATTGATTTTTGTTTAAGAGGGGTGAGTGATATGAACTATTATACATGAATTAAAGAAAATTTTAAAATTTATAATGTGTAGATAATTAATAATAAAGTAAATGTATTTAATGAATATGGGCGGGCCTATTGGCCCGGATGGGCTAAAAGTAACTTCCAGATCCGCCCAAATACAATTCGGGCTTGGGCCGGCCCGCCCATGTGGGTATTAAAGATTGTCCATATCCGCCCATTTTAAAGGGCAGGCTGGGCGGGCCGGACGGGCCGACCCTTGTTTGCACAGGTCTATTGAATAGCAAGTAGACATACAATTATCCATGATATGACATATTATAGCATGTGTGCTCAAGATGATGATGATGATGATGATATGTAATTGATGTCTTACATAGTCATTATGATTATTTTTGATGATGATTTCATGTTGTATGATTCTAACGTGCAAGGACGACCCTTACGCTATGAGATTTGCCCATTTGGTACGACGAACTCACGCTATCTTAGTCGGGTGAGACTAGAAAAATGAGGGTTGTACTCGAAAGCCTGAATACCATGTACGTACACTAAGCCTAAACGTGTGACGTCGGACTCTTAAGTCCCGCACAATCACGTTATAAGATAGGCACGAGGCATGATCTCTTACGCATGCATATGATGTGATATGCTTCAATATGAATGATGAAATGATTCATATGATATGAACAATTTGTAAACAATATGAATATGTAATCATACATTAATTTATTTGAGTAAAACATGATTAAAATATCATTTAAGTAAGCTACGGGATTCGGAAAGGTCGATCGTTTGGCACGGCGGTCGACCGTGCTCTACTTCAATTTCTCAGATTTCGGTTCACCATGATGGTCGACCGTAGTTGACCGGCGGTCGACCATTGTTGACTAGCTGAGGACGACGGTCTTCGGCTGGGCTGGCGGTGGTCGACCGTTCGTCGGCGGCGGTCGACAATTTTGCTGACAGTCGTGGTCTGTTTCGAAGTTTAATACGATGGTTGACCGTTTACGTCGACCGTTTGGGTCTGCATATCTTATTTTTGATATTTTTGGATGTCTAAAATACTTCTTTAAGTCATTTTAACAACTATAATTAACATATCTATGTATTTAAAGTATTTCTAACATTTATATATCCATGTGTGGAAGAGTATCAAAAATACATATTTTAACTTTATGAGTTTGATGAGTTTGATCTTAAAACATAGATGACTTATAATATGACAATCAATCCTAAGGTAATATATCTAAATTGATATTCAACCAAGGATTGCGTTACTAGGGTGCAATGTACTCGCCTTGATATCGTAGAAGACGGATGTGATAGAAAGATAATAATACGCCTCAACGAACGTTCAACGTACGGTCACCCATATCAACTTCGAGCTTCCGACGTTCAACCTTCTTGATAATAACCTTCAGGAGTTTTTTTATAGGCGAGAGAGTTGACGATTAAAGTTTGGAAAGAAAGGATATAAACATGGCGAAGAAATATAGCCAACCCGAGGAGCTCGCCACCACAGGCGCAGTCCCAGTATTTTTGCCATATCTCCTTCGTTACTTAACGAAATCACGAACCATTTGTTGGGTTGGATTCGTAACATCCAGAGCTACAATTTTGGTATAATAAACAATTCGAGAAAATGAATAGAAAATTACAGGATTGACGATGAAGTTGCTGATGCGTTTTGGACTCAGGATTTTGGACTTGAACACTCTTCTTGTGTCTTCTTCTTCTTACTTTGGTACAACAATGGAGATGGAGTCTCCTTTCTCCTTCCTTAAGGCTGGCCGACATAGAGAGAGGATGAAGAGAAAGACTATGAGAATTGTGTTGTGATTAGGATGACATTGATGGACAAAATGGTAAGAAATACACTCCATTATTTTGGATGTATTATGATAGTGGAAAGGTTAGTGGGTTGGTGGCTTGATTGAGGATTTGAAGGGATTGGGGCTGCGTGATTGAGAGACTTTTGGAGAACTAAAATATTCTCCTACTCCGTAACGGTTAGGCGTGTCGTAGCACCTACAAATTAATTTATTATTTTCCTTAACTCTTAACCCCCTTTATGAATTAATATTCATCAAAACATAATAGGGCAAGTAAAGGTCGATTCCACAAAGAAAGATACTTTTTGAGTTATGAAATCAATTCACTTGTCACTTTTATTTCTATTATGTGTGTGTGTAGGGGGGGGGGGGCAAAATAATATAGCAACCTCATCTACCACTTAAAAAAATTGAAGACCTATCCTCAGGCATCACATGAATTTGCCCATTTGGGAGTAAATAATATAGCAACCTCATCTACCACTTAAAAAAAAAGAAGGTAAGGTTGTAACCAATGAAAACTCCACACTATATAAACCCGTAACAATAAGAGTGGCAAAATTTCAATACACAAACAAGCCCATCAATAACCAACCCCAAATCTCAACCTTTATCAACCAGTGTGCCTGCAAACAGGAAGGAGGAGGAGTCACACCCAATAGAAGGCTTCATAATACTAATCAAATTCTTCAAGGTGAGTGGGAATAATACTTTATACTTTTAAATTGTTTATGATAGTCCATTTACTTTAACATAATGTCTAATATAAACATTCTGAGTAGAAACTCACAGTTTTTTTAAAAGCCTCACCTTCATAAGAAGTTATTTTACCAAAAAAAAAAAAGAAGTATTCATACTACTGAAATTTGTTTGGGATTTAAGAGATTTTTTAAAATTTGAGATGGAACTTTCTAAAGCATGCTCAGAGTAAATTTTTAAAATTTCTGGAAATGAATGGTACTCTTCTCCTTAAAAAATAAGCAGATGCATTCCTCCCGACACTATGACTTTTGAATTTTAAGGTAGAACCAATTACTCCCTCCGTCCATGTATGATCTTCGCATTGCGCGTTACGAGGCTTGACCGACTTTATTTTCAATTCAATTTGATTGATTATAGGAGTAAAATTTTAAAATAAAATTTATATAGTAATAAACTACATGAAAAGTTCTACAAAACTAGAGGTGACAAGACTATATTATTTTATGAAATGACTAGTAAAATTCAGCAAACAAAGTGAGTAAAGTTTGACCCATCTATGGTGGACAGAGGAAGTACATGTTTTAATTAACAAACTAAGCATGTTAATACTCTTGAACCAAACTCTGCCCCGAAAAAA